GCTGCGTGAAGAGACGGAAACCCGAGAGTGGTTTTGTCTGGGGATAAAGCGAATTTTTAAGTGCTGATACAAGACACATCCCTGTCATTAAACGGTATTTTAAATGAGTGCGGTTTTTTAAATAGCGGTTTTTAAAAATACTAAAATAGCGGGTTTTTAATATTTTAAAATAGCATTTTTTAAAGTTTTAAAATAGCGGTTGAAAATGTTTTAGTCTGAAGTCAGTCTGACTTTTTTTTAACAGAAATAATGAGTTAAGTGTTGCACTTTTTTCATGATTTATATTGAGATGTAATTCTTGAGGTTTTTTTTTAACATTATTATTGTTTGGAGAGTTTTCTATCATGAACCTGTCACAGGAGCTTGTCTTTGGTCAGCTGGGAGATCCTGCTCTAGGAGAGGACAGGAGGAGGATGTTCTTGGCACTATTTCAAGCTTCGTAGTTAACAAAAACTGTTCTGTTTCAATATCAGCCCTGTTCTCGAAGCATATTGGGACCAGTTCTGGAGCCCCCAACATAAGAAAGACATGGACCAGTTAGAACAAGTCCAGAGGAGGCCACCAGGATGATCCCAGGTCTGGAGCACCTCTCCTATGAAGACAGGCTGAGAGAGTTGGGACTGTTCAGCCTGGAGAAGAGAAGGCTCCGGGGAGATCTTATAGCGGCCTCCCAGTACCTGAAGGGACTACAAGAAAGCTGGGGAAGGACTTTTCATAAGGGCAGTTAATGACAAAACAAGAGGAAATGGGTTTAAGCTGAAAGAGGGGAGGTTTAGATGAGATATTAGGAAGAAGTTCTTCACTGTGAGGGTGGTCAGACACTGGAACAGGTTGGCCAGAGAAGCTGTGGCTGCTCCTCCCTGGAAGTGTTGAAGGCCAGGCTGGATGAGGCTTTGAGCAACCTGGTCTAGTGGAAGGTGTCCCTGCTGCTGGCAGGGGGGTTGGGACTGGATGATCTTTAAGGTCCCTTCCAATCCAAACCATTCTATGGTTCTATGAAATGAATCTCATACTGATAATAAGTTGGTCTGTCTTAAGTCTCTTTAAATATTTGGCCTGCCATTTGTTCTGTAGATGTGGCTTTTGTTGCATCTTTGCAGGATGAGAAGGTCGAGTACATGTAGTTTTTTTTATGGTTGCACCTTTTGGGCATGTGTGCAGGATCAGCATTTACTTTCAGAGTAATGAGACAAAACATTTGGCTGTTTTTAAGATTGCTATTGCTTTTTCTTCACTAAGGAGACCTGTGTCAGGTTCCTGCTGGTAACCAACAGAGTCACTTGTGATGTTTGAGGTTGGTGTGCAGTGAACGGGATTAAAAGCTGCTGAAAGGGACGTTGGAAATTCCTTGCTGGTGGGGAGGTAAAGGCAGAGTGTGGGCAGAGGTCTGTGAATCCCTGGAGTCTCTCCTGCTTTCCTGTTTGTATAACCCATTTCAAATGGGTCTTACCGGTGGGTTTATGACATGAGAACATATTCAGGAGATGTTATGTTCCTCAATAGGCTGGCAGCACTGGGATGTTATGGCTCTGTACCAAAACGTTGCTTTTCATGGATAAAATACACAGTTGCTCCTGGACTGAAGAATCACAACCTTTTCAATTTTTTTTCTAGATTATAGCATTTGATGAACTGAAGACCGATTACAAGAATCCCATAGACCAATGTAATACACTCAATCCTGTAAGTTGCATGCTAAACTTTGTGGGTTTTTTAAATAAAAGTATGTAAAGTGATTATTTTTGATGTTGTCTTGATATACTCAAACTAGGCAATAGAATTGCATCCGGGTGGACAAAACCTGGCTGTTTGATAGAAGTTGTAAGGAAAATTCTTTAGTCTGATTCTTTACTTTCAACTTGACTATTCTGACTGTTATTAATCTGCTGGTGATCTTGTCAGCTGTCGTACTAACACTCTT